CCGTCTGCCAAACCAATTATTCCATAATCAGTCAGCCAATGGGGCCAGAGGCTGTCCGATCTCTACACCCCCTTGTTCATTACAAATCATAAACATAATTCAATTATATCGGTAATTTCGTCCGATGCTTGATCGATCAAGATACAACCTCCACCGCGAGTGTTCGATGTGTCTGCGGTCTCGATGACACGATACGTCATCCCTCATCGTTCGTTAATATCCGTGAAGAGTCGTTTTATTATCGTAAATGGTAAAGCGTGTAAACGATCATATCTCTTTAACTGAAATACTGGAAATATTCAAGAATTCTATTTGAAAAGCGCCCGCGCGGCGGGAGATATTTTAAAAACCCGCGACGTTCACGCGTCCGGCAAAAAAAAGAGATACTTTTATTTTTAGGCGAATAAATTACGCGTCGCTTAAACACACCGTTCGCTTAGCGTACCGCTACCGCGACTTTAATGAAGAAAAATTCCACGTCGCGTATCCTTTAGATAGCATCATAACCCCGTCGGCTGTATCGGGCCAACTAGTTTAATCTGTTTTAAGGCAATATATCATTGCGAACGCTTATTCCACAGTCTGTCATTTCTTCCAGCATAAAAGAACAATGCTGAGATTTATATGGAAATTTGCCGTTCCTCTTATATTTCATGTATTTTAGTCAGAGATCTCTGGGGTGAAAAAAAATGTATCTATACAGCATATGTCGTCTCTTCAAGCTCGGCTCGTGAGCATTTTTACCCGCAATTCGATTTGCATTGTAGATTTAACTGAAAAAAAGTACGTAGAAGAACACGTGGATATAGGGCCATAGTTGAGTAATGCAACGTCGACGTTGAAATTATTAGGTTATAAAATATCGGATTTTACAGGAATCATATTTTTATATTAATTTACGTTAATTTCAGCGAACTCTTAAATATATTCAATCGAGACAGCTTCTTGTACATTTCTCACATCTTCCCAATTGAGAAGCGAATTTCGTAATTCCATATTTTTTTCGAAGATAGATGTGAATTATAAGAAGTTTTATTGTACTAAGTAAAGTTTAATTTATGAACATTACATTTGCAATCATAGATGCTTTTAATTGTTCATAATTAAAAGTTGTCTACGTTTTAATGATTAAACGAAAAACGATACTTGCGTCTAAAAGGGGAGGTGCAACACTTTACATACGACAGGTTCCGCCTTCTACGACATTAGCATATCTATAACGTTTGTAGATCAACTTCTATGCTTTCTAAAAAAGAAGAAATAAAGATAGGCAACGAACGACGGGGCGAGACTCCGGTAAATATATTGTATAATTTTATGCGATAAATGTCAAGTCATAAGTAATCAAACCACTCTGAATTAAGGCGCTTCAACACGAAATCGCGGAGAACAGCATAGTGCGTGTAAGCACGGTAGAATTTCGCGGTGGATCTGTAGTTGCAGAGGCAGAGCTTCACCAACGCTGCTTGGTGGTTGGTTAAGTAACGAGCGGTGCATATTTAGCCGTGGCTTCTCTGCAGAGACATGCAAATGTACAGCGATGGCTCCTCTCGGTTGGTTGCCTCTATACTACGTGAAATATACTCCGCTTCATGCTTAATCAAGATTTCGCCGGCCATTATACTCCGGAGAACCATTCTTCATAAAATTTTGCATTTTGACAAATCTCCGACGCGTAAAGTATCGATCTAATGCACATTCAGTCAATCCTTTTACATAAATTTCTATCTTCAATTTTTTTATTATCGTAAAATTTCCCAATCGAATAGATCGGTATATTTTTTGGTGGAATGCACCGTTTTTCAGATTATCTGAAAGAATTACAAATATTAAACCCGTAATTTATTCAGAATAAGCACACAGCTTATGCGTGTGCTTTTAAATAAAAGATATATTCTACCACAGATAATTTTCCATTTTTGGAAAAAGCGAATGAGTTTTATGTCCAAGTAAAATAAGTTCTTTTTGGAAACAATCTGTTATTTGGTGTCACATTATGTAGATGGATGGAGATAAATAGGATAGTTTCGTACGTATCGCGATATATATGTAACAAAAGAGTAATATTAATTAGTCAAAGAGTTTTCGACTTTAACAGATAAATAGGAAACACGGATTAGCTTGATTAATATCGCACTGTATTTTAGAATTTGCGCACAGAAGCCGACGAGGATGAGAAGTATACACAGTGATCCGAAGTGTTTCATCTTACCGGATTATCTTGAGTAAATAGGACGGGCAAGACGCAAAAAATGTACGCGACTGATTCCCCCCATATCGCTTCGTGTCTATTATTATGAACTTTGATCGTTCTGAGAGGATTAGAATATAAGAAAATACTATTTTTACGCGAAAATATTAGATTGCTTATAATCTTAGCGATTCAGTGATTCATCAGAATTCAATATTTACATACAAATATCTGCACATCGAGCAAAGATAACGCTATTATGCGAGCGTATATTACATAAATGCCGCGTCGTATATCTTGCTCGTCGATTAAAATTCGTTTCATTTTAAATTTTATTTTATACTTCAATCCTTCACTTGAACGCGCGAATTTTTTGGTTAATCCGGAATTTGTTTCCGCATGGGGAAACTTTGATGAGAGGCCACTTTTCGACGCAAATATTGAATTATCAGTATTAAACATATTGACAGCTATACGAGTGTGTGTACGTGTGCGCAATGAAAGTTCCGTTGAAATTAAATTACCATGGAATTAATGGAAAAATGTGATCCCGCTATTGATTTATTTTTCTTGGGTTTTATTCGGAAAAATGCGTACGTTAAAAATTTATTTATAATTCATCATCTAGAATTAATAACAATTCCTTTACTCGTGTATTCGAAACGTAGATGTGTATATATCTAATGTCTGGTGCTGCCACTACATCGCGGACAACAAGCGGGGTACTCGGAATGACGATCTCCTAGATGTAGTGCCGCATCCTTATCGCAGCTGCATCTGAGGCAGGTAACCATGATGCATGTTAACTTTATGTTAACAAACGTTTTAATAGCACGTAATGTACATGTAACTGTACGAAGCCGCATTATATCATTTCGCACTTACTCTTGTATGTTAAATTTATTCTGCGACGTGCATGTCACTTTCACACATCTTTGTCGATCTCCTGCGGGAAGCACCTCGCTGAGGCAATTTTCTGAAATAATTTTTATGACGCATACACCGAGAGAAGAAAACGATCGCAAAATCTTTATCCTTCAGGATAATTTCAAATTCATATTGGCAAGTGTTCAAATCAGGAAAAGTCAAGATCAAAAGTAAATTTACTCACCGTATTTCGGCACCTGCATAGAGTATTGCACGAGTATCAGAAAGATACAAAAGAACGCGAAACGCTTCATTGCGAAATGTATGTTGCTGCGTTGGAGAGACTCGACGAACTACTATGAGAGATCTCGATGTCGAACACTAAATTTATACGGTACCCCACATAATCGTAAATGCGGGGTCACGAGTGAAGATAAAGCCGTAAAAATGCATCTTCTTCTCCTCTCCACGCTCCACTTCGTCGTTTCGTCGTGAGATATGATTTTTTACAATCATACTCGGAGTTCTCCTGTACATGCATTTACGCTGAAAAGCGGGTCTGTGCAATTCGCAAGATAAATACGTCGGTAAGTCGAAGTGGGTCGACACAAGGCGAAATTAGACAAGTCTCGATTTTCTTCCGGGAGTCCCTTTTTGCCGCTACTTCACTATATACCAGGTGTAGAAGTATGAAACCGGAATTTTTTTGTAAAAATTACACGTCTGTTGTTTGAAAATGATAAAAAATATTTTATTCAAAATAATGTCCATTGCTATTTATACATTTTTCCCACCTCTCCGGCAGTTTATGAATGCCACGCCAAAAGAACATTTCTTCTTTTGAAGCGAACCATCTATCGAGCCATTTTCGTACATTTTCATACGAATTGAAGCGTTGTTCAGCGAGAGCGTGTCCCATTGATGCGAATAGATGATAATCGGACGGAGCCAAGCCTGGAGAATAAGCCGCATGCGTTAGTATTTCCCAACTGAACGCCTCGATCGTTTCCCTGATCCGTTTTGCTGTGTGGGTTGAGGCATTATCATGGAGCAAAATGACTTTGTGTTGCCTTTTTCCATATTCCGGTCGTTTTTCACGCAATGCTCGTTTTAAATCGATCATTTGCTGTTGGTAGCGATCAGTGTTAACGGTTTCACCAGGTTTTAGCAGCTCATAATAGATTACACCCTTCTGATCCCACCAAACACAGAGCATTGTCTTCTTTCCAAAGC